TCAGCTCAAACTGGCCGTTGAGCGTATCCTTCATGCCCGGCATCTCTTTGTCTAGCTTCTCCACGATGTTGTCATATGCCCAGGATCTGTTGTACATGAACACCTCGAGACCCTCCAAAAGAAGCTGAAGACTGCTGGCGAGTTTTGTATTCTGGTCCGAGCTGATTCCCTCGTGTTCAGTGGCCAGATCACCGTCTCGAGGCAAGAAGTACTCCAGGATCCTGGTTGGCTTGAACAACCAGTACCTCCACGTCAAGTTGATCCGTAGGATGGAAACCGTGTAGTCATTGTTGGATATGATGATGTTTCTTGCGGTGATTCTGCCGCCTAGCGGCGATATTCGGAAGGCGTCTAGCGATATCCTGATCTTGTACCTCCTCCATACCAAGAGCCGTAGAAGCTGAGTTATCACGAACCCGACCAAGCGAGGAAACCAAAACACAAATGCTAGGCCGAGGATGAGCGCTAGAATCCAGTCGGCAAGGTACACCCACAGGGCGAGTGACGAGCCGTATGAAACCATGCTGCTTTGTTTGGTCCACTTGGGTTTGTGATGTATGTAGTATGATGAGTGAGAAGATAGGAAGGCTCACGAACGGGGGACTCCCGAGATATGGGAAGTTTTGGTTTTCGATGGGGAGGGGGTATTCTACTTAAAGAGGATTATTGGGAGATGAGTGTAATTTTGATTTTCTGTGTTCTTCCTGGTTTTTGTATTTACAGTGGAGGGGGTGGTTTATAGATTGGGTGCAAAATGCGAGATTGCTGTGATTGTGGAGAAACAGTGCAATATGAGAAAAACGTGTTTCGTCCCCAAAAATCAAAAAGCCCCTTAAGTGGACAGATTATGAGATTTTGGTGGATAAGCAAGCTGGAATATGGGGATGTAGAGTTTTTGGCCCGTTTTGTGGATTGTTGATCCCGAACGGTGGTGGTACCTGCTGCGGTCATTTCGCAGCCATACTATCTAGATAGAGATAAAAGAGGCACAGTTAATTAAGCACAAGAGCCCCCGGAAGCGGGAAAAATGAGATATTACTTAGGTTTTTGAGGTCTTCTAAGTAGACTGTCAAAAGGGAGCAATTTGTACCCAGGTGGCTCATCGTAGTGATCCATTTGAAACAAACCTCATAGTACCATGATAGCGTAGCCTTAATGTTTGGGCACTATTTCCAGAAATGACACTACGTTAGTTAAAGGCTTCAAAGAAACTCTTTAATGACCCTGGAAGATATTCATGAAACATAAGACAATCCAATCCATCAGTGTGCACCAGCTGAGGTACAGCCATTTCGCAGCCATACCACGATAAGCTCCCCAAGCTACTTCCCACTAAACCACCAAAAACTGCTTTTTTTTTTATAGATTTATAGAAAGCAATTCAAACTACAAATACCACTCAAATCGTTAAGCTGACTTTCATTTGCCAGATACGTTAATCATCACTTCCGTGCTTCCCATACTACAGGGCTGCCTCCCCTGCCTGCACAATTTCCCTTTCCGTACAAACCCAAACAAGCAAACCACAACTACTCTTCTTCATGTCCAATCCACTCCGAATAAAAAATAGGGACCAGGAAAACGCGTTTAGGGTTCCTAATAAGGACGAGAATGCTCAGCCACCCACAAAAAGACTGGCTCTCCAACCCAAGCTGAACAAAAGGCAGAGAGTGCCTTTGGGAGGGAAGGACCCTAACGGAGCCCCTTTGTTACAAAGATCCAACACATCTGTTCAAAAGCCGCTTCGGCCCAGCAGTGCCCCGTTGTTGAAGCAGCCTTTTTTGACAAAGTCAAACTCGACTTTGGGCTTCGCCCATGCTAATGCTCCTACTACCCACAGAGGTCACAGCGGTCTTACACAGGGCCAGATCCAAAACGCTGATCCGCTCAAGAATGATCTTTTCAGCGGGAAGTTGGCCAAAAGAGAGAATGAGCTAGTACCACAGCTCGTGTCGGATTCCCCTAGAAAGCCAGTGCCCAAAGAACTACCTCCTTTGGAAACTAAACTCAGTGATACCTTCTCAGAAGCGACACAACAGCTTCATGCCAGCAATTTGCCTCCGCAGACAGAGGCCGACGTAGATCCCGTCAAGGGCCTCAAACTCAATACCCGCTTGATCGACCAGTTGGCAGAGGAGCCTGTGGATACCATCCCCGAGGTGAAGGCCCTTCGGGACGTGGATGACGCCCTCACCGAAGACGACTTGCATTTTATTAAAACAGGAAAGAGGGTGTCGCTTACCGAAAATAAAAACCTCCAGTCACAGCTCCTCAAGGAGCACGGCCATTTGGGTCTCTCCAAAGACGAGCTTGACGACTTGCTTGATTTCTGATACGCATACCATCATTTAAATATATACACGGACGGGTTTCGTAACTATGACTATTGGGTAGTGCACTCGGGCTCTGCATCTTCGTAGAAAAAGTTCTCCTGGGCATGGGCATGGCCGTTTGGCTTGCTCTGCTGTGGTTCCTCATAAGAAGGAAGAGCATCTGCCGTGGCCAACGTCACCTTCTCCACATATTCTATATTAGCCTCTGGTAACGACAGCGAGGGAACTTGTTGCTTTTTGATGTCTGATTTGCTCTGTAGGTCATTGGGAAGAACGTTTTTGAGCTTGGTGATGTCGTTCAACTCCAAGTACCAGTTATCCTTGGGGAACTCAATGTCGACATCGATGTATAAATCGCCGTAGGAGGCCCCCATGATCTTGCTGAAGGTGCCTTGTTTTTCACGGCGCATGCCTTCTCCAGGAAGTTTGATTAGGTGGCCGGGACGAATCACCTTGCCTTTGGGTGTAGTAACATGCATGGCTCTACCGTCCAAATGTTGGCAGACGACCCTTGAAAATCCCGAAAGCGCATCCACCAAGGGAATCTTGTATTTGGCAAAAAGATCGTCGCCACGGCGTGTAAACACATCGTGCTTCTTGCAAGTGTACTTGAGCACAACGTCGCCTGTTTCCATGGAAGGGTGCTGATCCGCCTCACCTTCAAGGACAATGTTTCCTTCGTTAGGCGAGCCAGGGGCAATCTCGAATTCCAAGATTTTCGTCTCCTCCACAACCTTGGTACCCTTGCATGTTTTACAGGCATTCTTAGCCGAGAAGATCTTACCGGTCCCGTCACAGGATGTGCATCTGATCTGTTCCTGAACAACCATACCGGGTCCGAGTCTCTTGATTCTTTGCGTGCTTCCTTTACCTTCACAAGAGGGACACGTCTTCATCTTGGCTGCCTTCTTTGCTCCGGTGCCGTGGCAGCTTCCACAGAGTATGTTTCTGGTACTGGTCACTTTCACCACTCTTCCCTTGAAAAGGTCCTCCAACGTCACCTCTATGAAAATTTCGGCATCGTCGGTTTTCTCCTTTTGAGCAGGTCCTCTAGCAGCGCCGTGGCCACCCATGTTGTTGAAGAAATCATAGAAATCCTCGGCATTATACTCTCTGTGGGCTCCATAAGACTGACCAAACGGATGCCCATTGGCCCCGCCACGGTCCATCGGATCAGAGTCACCGTGGAGGTCATAATCTGCTCTTTTCTTTTCGTCGCTCAAGACCTCGTAGGCATGGCACACCTCCTTGAACTTGATCTCTGCTGTCTCTCTTTCCTCTTCACCTACCTTGTCTGGGTGGTACTTTAGGGCGAGCTTTCTGTAGGCCTTTTTGATTTCAATTTCTGTCGCCGACAGTTCCACTTCTAGAACGGCATATAGGTCGGGCATTTGTGTGGATGTATTATAGATTATAGGGCCTGGTGGGCTCCATTAGTATGTGATGATGATACTGAGGTTCGCACACAATACCGGTGGTACACTCGATGAGCCGATCTGGGTCAAAAAGGGATGAAAGTCGAAGTTAACAGTGAATTCAAGTTAGATTAAGTCTAAAACGAATTTGTAAAAAATTGGTTCAAAAGAAAGGCAAAAAGATAACGACGTGGACAGGATTCGAACCTGCGAGAGCAGAGCTCATGAGGAGGTGCTGATGTTACAACCTGCACCTCACGCCTTAACCACTCGGCCACCACATCTGTTATGCCAAAGTATGAGAAAAAGGTGTGTATTGAGCGGTAAAAGTGAGGATTTGGGAGTGCACATAATGGCCATGAAAATCAGCAAATACATTGGTTAGAACCGCCAAAGGCTGAATAACATGAAAGTAGGGGTCCGAGCCGGTTTAGAGCAGTTCCCGAGGATCTGTGAGCGATTGAAGATGATGTCAGGGGTGATTAGCGATTGTAGGCACTATGGAGCCCGAATTTCGTGAAAAGTGCCCTATGTTGTTTTAAGACGTCAAAGCTTTAATCAAGATTCATTGGGAGCACCATTGAGGGAGCAACTGTACTCAAAGGCGACACAATCTTGGCCTCGGATGTTCAGTTTCAGATTGATCCGAGGGTAAGGGGACCAGGATAATACAACCCAGCTTGCGATTCCACGTCATTTATATGAAGCTGGAAACCTCAAAAGCCAAAGAAGCTTCATGATTCGACTTCCAGGGAACCCTCTTACCATAAAAAGGTCCGAATCTTCGATCCAGACAAGATTGGCCAAATTGGTCATTAGCCTTACCTTCGAAACCCATACATCCTCAAATAACGCCCTTTCCACTTAAAATATTCCAAATTTGTGAATCCCGCTTTTCAAAAACACCACCGAAACACGTCTTCACTTTTTTCACTGTGATCATCAAAGCCACTGAACTGGTGTAGTGAATTTCGCAACCTCTATCATGCCGGCTGTCCCCTGGCTGCGAGTCTGCAGGACCGATTCAAAGCTTCTTTAAAAAGAACCAATTCCCCGACGAACACGATGCCCAGATTATTGAAATTTCAAAAAATGCTTCATTGAAGACGGAAAAGTACCCTGGTCCCCCGACAGAGAAGCAATGGCCCGTGGAGCAAGAGCAGAAAGGGGCCTACCTGCAGTACCGGTCTCGTGTTCTTGGACGAAAGTAAAAAACACCTATACTCACCAGTATCTACTACACTAAAACACAATGGTATGTGCATTCAATGCCTTCAACGCCGTGTGGCGTTATCATCATTTTAACAACTTCATACTAACCTTCAGTCCAGATCCGGGTATGTTAACGCAAAAAAATTGACTTTGACCGTAGACTAACCACAGTGTTGCCGTTGCTGACGAATCTTTGCAGGCCTTCAACGACTTGAAGTTGGGCAAGAAGCACAAGTTCATCATCTACAAGTTGAACGACTCTAAGACCGAGATCGTTGTTGAGGAGACCTCTACCGAGTCTGACTACGACGCTTTCTTGGAGAAGTTGCCTGAAAACGACTGCAAGTACGCCATCTACGACTTTGAGTACGAGATTGGTGGAGGTGAAGGTAAGAGAAACAAGATTGTTTTCTTCACCTGGTCTCCAGACACCGCTCCTATCAGATCCAAGATGGTGTACGCCTCTTCCAAGGACGCTTTGAGAAGAGCCTTGAACGGTGTCTCCACCGACATCCAGGGTACTGACTTCTCTGAGGTTGCCTACGAGACCATTTTGGAGAAGGTCTCCAGAGCCGCCGGCTCCCACTAAGTAAGAATACATGACAGTGATTGAGCCTAGCCAGGCCGGGCGTAGTTAGGGGATTGTCAATTGGAAAAGGCAGAATAGGCATTACCAAGGGAAACTATCTTACGCCATAGGCTGAAGAATCAATGCAACATGAAGAGCAAAGCTATGGTACTATCAGAGTCTGCTCAATGACTAAAGGGTAAACCATCATGATGGTGGTTGACTTTGCATTTCAAAGCATCATCCTTAGTAAACCTTCAAAACAACCATCTCTATTGAATTTTCAAAAAACCATCTTTTAAGCTCCACCTTAATGTGTATCACTCTGGGTATTCTGGGTATTCTGGGTATTGCATCTCATGATTCCGTTTCTTGCAGCCATTGACGTCATCATCCACCAGCTTCCTAAACTTCTAATTCCGCTTAAATTTCCAAAATTAAACTGCATTCCATTCCAATTCGTATATTGTCCATCTGCACAAAATACGTAATCTCCTCCATCTCGGCCCTCGGTACTTAGTCAGTATGAGGCATCTAATGCACCTCAACCTGCACTATCAACTACACATTCACATCTACAAACCACACAACCGAAAACAACAAAGAGTTCCTTATAGCTCTATGGACCTATATTCGCCTAAATCGTTACCACAAATATTACATTCAACACCCCTACCGCTCCTTACACCACTGGTCCCTGCATAACCCCAGACCATGAAGACCAAAGAAAGACTACCTAGAGCCACTCTAGAGCAGAAGATCCAGATCCTAGATTATTTCCACTCGTCCGATAGGCCCCAGCTGGACACTGTGGAAAAGTTCAAGGACATGGTGGCAATTTCCACGTCCACATTCAACGAATGGGTCAAACGAGAGGATGAATACAGAGACAGATACAAGCAGCTGGAAGGCGGTTTCGGCAAGCATCTGAAAAGAAAAAGCTCCTACAAATACGACAAGATCAACAGGGCCATGGATCTTTTAGTGCAGCAGCGTTTGGACAGAAACGAATCGGTCACTGAACCGCTATTGAGAGACTACTGGCAGGTTTATGCCCATCAGTTTGGCGTGGACAACCCCAAGAGGCTTATTTCCTTCAGTCACGGCTGGTTGAGCCAGTTTAAGAAACGACACGGGCTTTTGCGCAAAAAGGGCTCCAAGAATGATTTAACCAGGGTGACAAACGAGAGACTTCTAGCAGAGCAGGTTACTTCGGAGGGATCGGACTTTTCTGGGGATGAGCTGTCGCTGGACGAGGAGGAGCCGAAGCAAAAGAAGAAAAAATCGGCCTTTAGGCCCCAGGATACGCTTAGTTTCCAGAACCAGTTCTCATACACTGAAAGGAAACTGCCGCAAAGGGACCGTTTAGGTGTAATGCCCGTGGCCACCAAACCAGTAGCTGGCGATATCGAGAAATTCCTATTTAACGTCGCTGACGAGTTCTTCAACGAGCACCAGTACGAGTACCCCCAGACGATCAAGATGTACCATGAGTTCAAGCTGTCTTTTCTCAGCGAGCGTCTTATAGATCTACGGTCTAAGGACGAGGCGGACGGCTCTCAGAATGAAAAGCTTCTTTCAGACCACAGGCTTCTTCCGAGCTCACAGCTTTCCCAGAAGCCCGAGAAAAGACGTCGTTTGGAACAGATTCCTCAGCAGATACGCCAGCAGCTTCCGCAGCCGAACCTCTTTGGGCAGTCAAGTTCCAGCAGGCTGGGGAATAGCGAGATTCTCGATAATATGTTTATGAGGAGGCAAAACGCTGAAGACTATAGGTTTCAGCAGGGTCAGCAGCTCGAGCAGCGGCAGGAAAAGCCGTCTGAGGGCGAGGAGGTTTGGAATAATCTGAGGAAGATGTGGGAGAGGAACAAGATAATGTTGTGAGGTGGAGTTGGGGGATCCATGGAGAGGATCCTACGGCAAGTGCCGGTGACTAATTTGATTAATACTAATACAGGCTTTAGGAAACAGGGTGACAGGACAGTGTATTACAAGCGTGGTGGGGTAAAACCCAAAGCTCTTTTATTCAAAATTTATTCGTTATCTTCATTAATGGTGCAGTTTCCAAGCGAAACGTGGAGTGTGCTGCCTTTGTGTGGTCAATTTTAAAGGCCCTTATTGACTGAGGGGGCGATCCAGGGATATCTGCAAGTGGGGTTACAGAAACCGTCGATCCTCTGATATCCAATTTGAACGTTGTTTTCAGTGACATTGAGCCGCCATTCTGAGTAACCCACAAGCACATCAGGTCAATTCTGGGGAAGACCGAGTTCGGATATGGACTCCACTATCCATACTGAACACACCTGGAATTCGTGGATCCCCAGAAATTGTGTTAATTCTCGTTGTTCATCAACAATTGGAAAACCTTCCACCGGGAAAACATATCCTCAGCAAACTTGACCATCAGACTCCCTTGGCCTTGTACCTCTTGCAACCACCACGGTAGTCCTACCAACTTGGGTCCTTCCCAAACTTCTCCGAACCTTCCCAAACCCATCTTCACATCCTCCAAAATACAATCCTCCACCTACAGCTCCAACTCAACCTTCACTTTCGGCACATCAGCTTTCTTGGGACAATCAGCACAATTAGCACACTTTGTCAGGCCATCCTCCAAGACAATGGCTTTTTCAGGCGGACAATCCAGTTTCGCCGGTTTTGGCGCCAGAGTTCTCCGTGGAAACCGCATCTCCTTGTTTATGAGCGCCGCCTGGTCCAAGTCCGAGTGTTTTGCGTAGAGGTAGTTGCGGAGGGCCATGTTTGCAGCCAATCGCACGCGGGCCGGGTCGGTATTTATACGCCCTCACCCGCCAAGCAGGTGGGCCCACCTTTTTGACGTGGTGGCGGCGGGCGAGATTTTTTAAGATTTTTGCAGAAGGGGTGGTAAAGGAGGGGAAGGAAAAGAAAAGGCTGGTTTTTGCAGAGACGACGGTGGTGGGTTGATGGTTTTCGGTGGGGTGGTTTGGAGAGATTTAGCCATGCAAGGCGCATACATGTCTCGCTTGGTGGAGGGGTGGTATTGATACGAGGGGCAAAGGTGAAGAAAACAAAAAGATGTAGTTTAATGATGATTGTTTGAGTATTGTAGTATTTGAAGATTGTGATGATCGTGGATTATGGTGGTTGGTTGGTTTTGGTGGTTGGTATACTTGGGGCTGGTGAGGATGGGGCTGTTTTGCAGCCATCAGGAGATAGTCCATTTGACGAGACAGTTAGGCGAGATGGCGGTGTAAGATGTAGATGGATTTATTTTGATTGGTGAATGTGGCGAGATGGCTTGTCGTTTAGGTCTGGTGTGGAAGGAGAGGAGCAAGCAGGAGAGGTCCATAGTGGCTGAGGATCTGCTCACACTAGTTTATGGTGTCCTTTGGAAACGTGGATAATTCGTCGTTTTGTTACTTTAGGGCAATTTTTGAGTTCCGTGGATTCTAGCTTGTATCAATGGCTTTAGAATTTCCATGGTTTCGTGGTACTGAATGTGGTAGAGATGGTGACTAGATACTACCCATTGGTTAACAGCTGTGACGCCTGGGTTATCCATGCAAGAGCGTAATTGAAAATCAGGAAACTAAAAGAATTGTTCTATTTTGTAGAAAATTATTAATTGCTGATCGGGCCGTCTGGAAATAAAACGGCTCTACGAGTCAAACGAAACCACACCTCAATTGAATACTTTGTTCAGGATTGTACGAATCCAAAAAACATCAAAGAATCTAGAATTTGTTAATTCCAAAAAATTAAACGAATTTGGGACATATGGCTGTGTTTGCTGTAAATCAGCTCATGTAAAGATCAACAGAGGAAAGCTTATTTTAAGGGGCTTTAAAGAAGTATAGACACAACTGCTACCATTGCAACAAGGTAATAGCACCAAAAAATAACTAGACACTAGTGAATATCTATGCAACATGAAACAATGGTCATTTTCATCCAATTGACCCATGCCGTTTCAATATGTCACCGGGTAGTTGTATGTGCATAGCAAATCACAAGATCTATCAGTATATCCTACAGATGTCTAAAAGGTATCGGTCATTGTTAGTATAAGTTACACATCTATGTCATTATCTTGACCGAAAGCGCCCCAAGGGCGAATGTTTCGTAATCATTAGGTATGCTGCTGGGGATGATGCGCTGTGAACCGGAGCCCCAAGACGGTGATACCAATCACCACCGTCAAGAACTTGTACTTCAAGTTTTCGTCAACGAGAGGCTCTTCCAGGGTTCGGCGTTTCTTGCGGAAATGCTCCTTGCCCATGATGAGGTACCGGAGCTGGTTAAAGGTATTGAGCTTGGCATAGTCAACTTCACTTCCGCTGCTGGACTTCTCGCTTGCCATATCCTCCCACAAGTCTTCGTCATCCTCGTCATCGCCATCTATACTCTCCTCAACGCTCTGCTCCCAGTCAGTTTCGAACTGGGAAAAGCTGACGTCCTGTGGCGCAAACGTCTGGGATTTTGCCTTCTTCGGCTGCTTGGTGTCCGCCTCATTGAGATACTCTTGGGTATGATTGGAGAAGAGTCTCAGGCTGTGGTTTCGATGGTGAGATAGGAAGCCATAGTCATCGCAGTCGCCATTAACGTTACCGAGAGAGTTAATGAAATGGCTCTTGAAGACAAAGTCGTCTTCGTCCTCATCTTCACCTCGTGCTGGTTGTAGAAGACCAAGCCCAAGCGCAGGATCGAGGAAGCTGGACTTCCTTACATCCGCCTTGGTAGAAAGGATTGGGTTGATCGACACGGATCGAAGAACTCTCTTCTTCTGTATGAGCATGTCTCTCAGCTTCTCAATCAATTTGGCATCGGAGTACTCCATATTGCCGCCACGGAGGTTGCTTCTGCTCGAGAGCTTCTTGATGTTCTTCTTCTGCTTCTGGAGCTCAAAGCCGATGTACGAAAGAAGCTTTTCGTTGTGCAATTTGAGCGATTGCAACTCGAATTTAAGTTTCATGATTTCTTGTTTGGTGATGTCACTGCTCAGAATGTTGATATCTGTGAACATGCTGGAGCGTTTGGAG